TTGTAGAGAGCGGAGGGTGTCCAGGGAAGGGACGATGCCGTCCATAGTACAGAGTCAGTCGCAGAGAGCATCCAGGAAAGGGCAGACTATATCCATTGCCCGGTGCTTGGTCTGCATCGACTTCTGCGGTTGCCGGGGCCCAAATGGGCACGCACCACCAAAGGGGCAAGGGGGTTTGCAGATTTGTTACATAGCAGAGAAAGTACGTCATACGAAAGGCAACCCCTTCCAAAGCAAATGAATTTGGGGCTCTTTTCCATACAGAGGGGTGGGGAGGGGACTGTCGAGAAGATGCAGTCGCCGCTGCCAGCGTTTGACTGCGGGGTCAAAGGCCCTTCGAGAGACACATAGCAGGGCGAGTGAGTCAGGGTGACAAGGTGTGCGTCAGAGAATGCCCCATGCTGGTTCTGCTCCCTTTGTGCGCTGGGACGTGCCCGCCACCTTCCCCAAGGCATGGACAAGGGACTCCCAGAGTGCTTGCCAGCGAGAGCGTGCCCATTGTACAGTACGTGTATGACATGTGTATATGTGTGCGATACACATACCCGTTTTGGTGAAAGGACACTATTTCAAGAAGAGGTGCAAGAAGCACAAGGCTGGATGTTTTGCAGTTGGGCCTTTCGCTAAGTTTGCCAAAATGTGTGTCAAATAAGAGGCAGCTCTGAAAAGCCATGCCAGTATTGGCAACACTGAGTGTGCCCAAGAGCGGGGTAATCCAGCTGCCATAAGCAGGTGGTGAGGTCACGAACACCAGTGACAGATGGGTCTGTGCTCCCCCTGCAGAATCGGAGTGGCTCAAGGTGCGCTGCGGCGGTTGCCCCAAAGTGCTGAGGTGCCCACTGACCGCCAAGGGAGTGAAGTGTCCATCTTGCCAACACGTCACCCGCATCGCGCTCGCTGCCTCGGACGGCCCAGCCGAGACCCCTCCAGAGACCAGCGGCACCAGTTCCGGCTACATCTCAAGGGCCAGTTCGGTGCCCACGGTGCGGCCCTCACCGAGAACCAACGGCATCAATCCAGGCCAGGTCTCCAGGCTTGACTGCGGATGCGGAAAGAGCCTGGCTTTCAGACCTGGTGCCAAGGGAGTTAAGTGCCCTGGTTGCAGAGAGGTAACCCTGGTAGGCCCCACAAGGGCCACGCTGCCACCAGCTGAGGGGCAGCATCCTGCCTCCCCTGGCGGTAGGCTGGCTTGCAGTGCCTGTGGGAAACGGCTCAAGTACCTGGAGGGTGCGGCGAAGCTCATGTGCCCTGGCTGCCGCACAATTAACGACGTGCACAGCCAGCCAGGCGCGCCCGCCAAGCACATCCCTGCGCCCTTGGGCTTGGGCAGGTCGGGGTCGATGCCCCAGCCCTCAGCTGTGTCAGATGGCGTATCCCCAAGGCCGCAGTTGTCTGGGACTGATCCCCATGTCCCAGATTTCCAATCTGGGTGCATACGAAGCCACGCCGTGGAAGCGAGATCCAGCTTGCCAGACTCACCCTCATCTGGAACTGTGCCTTATGGCTCTGCAGTCCAAGCTGTGGGTACACAGAGCCATGCCTCAGGTGGTGTATCAGCATCGCTGGGATCCTTCCAGTCTGAGGCTGCGCCCAACAGCCCCGCTGCCCAGTCTGTGAGCGCACAAGGCCGCACTTCGAACGGTGCAGTGGCACCGCCAGGCTACCCCTTGTCTGAGGCCACCCCCAACAGCCCTGCTTCCCAAGGCACAAGTGCGCAAAGCCACGCCAACGGCGAGTTCACACCGCCCGACAAACCCCTGTCAGCAACTCTGCCCAGCAGTCCAGCTGCCCAAGTCGCATCTCCACAGAGCCGTACTGCGGCCGTTCCCAATGTTGTGGGCCTTGATCGCGAAGTCCTGGGCACACAAGGCCGCGCAGTGGAGGTGCCCAGCCCCCTGGGTGTGCCATCAGTCGATGCAGGGTCTCCCCGAGCGGGCAGCACTCCCAGCACAGCGTGCAGAAAGTGCCGCACTCCAATCTGGTTCCCAGCTGGGATGACTGAAGTGCAGTGCATTGGCTGCGGTGAATCCAACACCGCATGTCAAGGTCCGCCTGTGCAGTCACAGGACAGCTCGCAGGCGTCCTATGTGACTCAGTGCGGAAGGTGTCAGGGGGAGCTTAGAGCTGGTCACGGCACGAAGTCTGCAACCTGTGGCACGTGTGGAATGATCAACAAGTTGGATGGCAGCTCTGAGGGAGGTCAGGCGATGGAGGCGCCCCCGCAGGTTGAGCCTGCCGCATATCAGGCAGCACAGCTGCACTTGCGCAGCCGCATGGCCCAGTGCCGAAATTCCCAGTGCCGGGCTCCTTTGCACTTCCCACCAGGGGTGGAGAGCGTGCAGTGCATTCAATGCGGCGAGGTGACAATGAAAGGGGCACTGGGGCCGTTGCCAACGCCCAGTCCTGGGGCAAATTCTGGTGCGACTCCGCTGTCTGACAACGAGTGGGGCACTGAGTCAGCCAATGACCCCGGACAGCGTCTCGGCTATTCTAACCCTGCCCAGCCCTCCCCGAGGCCCTCCCCAACCGCCACAAAAACGACAGTGGTCGTATGCAAGAACAAGAAATGCAATGTGGATCTCAGATGCCCAGAGGGCGCCAGTGGGGTGAGGTGTCCCCAGTGCGGCAAGGTCACGATGAAGAGGAGGCTGATGCAGAGGATACACGTGAACGTGGCAGACGGCGTTGTGATCCCCAAGGAGCAGGAGAAGGCCGCCAGCACACGGGGCACCCCCCAGCCAGCTGCTGCGCCCCCGCCGTACGGCTCCATGGACTGCGAGAGCTGCGGCACCAGGCTGTACTATCCCGTGGGAGCGCTGGGCGTGCAGTGCGAGAGGTGCAAGCATATATGCTACGACCTGCCAGACGCCAAAGCCGCGCAGGTCACTCCTCGAGGCACCTCAAGCGGAGCGAATGGTGCTGCGCCCAACTCAGGATCATCTTCTGCTCGGGGGACCTCCCCTCGGGCGGTTCCATTGGGGCCCGACAGCAGAATGCCTCGCCCAAAAGCCGATCCTCTTTGGGGGCCCCCCTGGCAGGCGAACGCACCTGCGGAGAATGGCGTGCCTCACCCAGCGCCAGGGACTGTTCATGGAACCGGCCCATCTCTGCCTGCATTTGCCCAAGGCCTCCAAACTGACCAGTGCCAGAACTGCAGCAGTTGGCTGAGCTTCCCCCGTGGGGCCCAGGGCGTGAAGTGCAAAAGCTGCGGGCTTGAGAGGACACTGTCAGAGGACGGTACTGGATCGCCTCCTCAGCAGAGTGGCCAGATGCCGGCCGGCATTGGCCAGGGGCATTTTCAGAGCAGCAATCCCCACAACCCTCAAGTGGGGGCCATGGAATGTGGCAAGTGCGGCAGCATGATGCGCTGCTCGCCTGGGGAGGGGGAGGCCGGCTGCCCTGTGTGCGGGCATGTCAATGTGTGCAACTCCAAGGAGGGGGCTTTTGGCAAGACTCCACTGGCTGAGAATGTGCCCACATCCGGTGATGCTCAGCCTCAAGCCAGTCCCCCGCCTGCAAAGGATCATGGGCTGGCCGCCATAGAATGCGAGAGGTGCCACAGTGGGCTGAGCTGCCCCCACGGAGCAGAGAATGTGCAGTGCACCGTGTGTGGGCAAGTCAATCACCCCAATTGGCAGCCAGAGGTTTCCCCATTGGCAAACCCGGCTGGGACCACCCCAAGTCCACCCGCAGTGGCACAAGCCCCCGATGTCCACCATGACAGCATCCCCTGTGAGCGGTGCAGCGCTCATGTGACCTTCCGGCTTGGCATGACGGAGGTGCAGTGCCCCGCTTGCAATGCAGTGAACGCACTGGATACCAGTCAGGGATCGGCTCTCGTAGAGGCAGTGACAAGGGATGCCCAGAGAGTGCATGATGCTGAGCGGGTGTCCACCCCTGGCTCCTTGCCCCACCAGGGCAGTGGGATGACGATTGTTGAATGCGAGAAGTGCCAGAGTCATATGACGTGCATGTCTGGCGTACTGGGTGTGCAGTGCCCCAGGTGTGAGCACATCAACATGCTGCGCGGGAGGGAGGAGAGGCCTGCGGCAGCGCACCAGCCGGCCAATGGCGTGAGCAGTTCGGATGCACAAACCCCCCCAACAGCAAGAATGGGATCAGAGGGAGGAGCGGGCAATGGGGAAACGGTGCCGGCGGCGAAACAGAGGGTGTCGAAGACTTGGCTTTCGATGAAACGAAAATAGGCGGTCCTTGAACGAATGGATGTCCAAGGGGGTTAGCATGGGCAGCATGTGCGCTGAGTGCTCTGTGTGCGTTTTTTTCTTTGAAGCTGAACTATAAAAATTAACTTGATTGAACGTCATTGACGTCAGTCATCTTGATTGAACGTCATCGACGAGTCACCTTGCTTGAACGCAATTGAAGCAGCAGCACTTTTTTTTCTTTTTTTTGGGGGGGGGGGGGGGGGGCGTTCGCTGGAACTGAGCGTGCACGGCGGGCTGCAGAAGCCTGGGAGAGCCGCTCATCAGTTGGCACACCATCTCTCTTGTGAAGGGGTTGCGTTTCATGCTCCCTTCAAACGCCTGCTATAGATGCCCGCATTGCAGCCGAACGGTGAAGGAAGACCGATTGCCACGATCTGGGGGGAGAGGGTGTGCCGGAAAGCAATCCACTTGGGCGACGTTGTGCGAGTCCTGACGTTGTGAGATGTTGCGTCCGCCCGTGCTGAAAAGGGACGCTGGCTGTTCTGGCCGGCTGCAGGCCGAGCTGAGGTCGTTGGGTGCCTGCTGGCACAGGTGGGCGTATTGAGGCGCCGTGCTGGTTGGCTTCACCAGTTTGAGAGTCAATCAATCAAGATTCCTTGAATTTGACGCTCCAGCAACTAAGGTCACGGCGCCTACCAGTTTGAGAGTGCATTTGCGAATGCAGCGTGGGGCACCGGTGCCACCTTAGTGGGTGAGAGCTGGGGAAGAGCGCTTTCGTCACCATGCTGATGACAGGCTCCTATGGCATTGGTGGCTTCTTGAGAGCTTTTTGCGATGCTTGCCATCGGGATGGGAACACAAGCACAATGGTCGGCTGGGAGTTGGTTCCATGGCAACTTCACAACGAGAAAAGGGGCGTTGTCAATCAGCACAGATGTTCTCGTGGTTGCAATGATGACAGTCGCAATGTTGTTGTTCACTTCGATTTTAGGTGTGGAAGCCTTGAAAAGATACTCCAGGAGCTGTGAATGGTGCAATGTGAAAACCGGCGTGGACTATCAGCAGGGATGGCTGCATAGTGGCAATGGGGGCAGTCATGTTGTTGTTGTGTGGTGGGTTGTTCACTTCGATTTTGGATGTGGAGGCCTTCAAAGGATGCTCCGAGAACCGAGATGCACGTTGCAGTGGCAGACAATAGGATGAACAGCGGCTGCATTGCGGCTCCTTGCGACCCCAGATTGTATCAAACAAACCATTTTAATGTAGTTGTTCGTAGGCTTAGGAGGTACGGGTTGTTTTTATACTATGTACTCAACGCTGAACGTGTTATGGCAAAATTTGAAGCAGGTGTTGACCTTGGCAGGCAGGGTCGAGGGGTGGCGACCCCTGACTGGGGCCCATAGACTCGAGTACACAGCAACGGTGTACAGTGAAGCAAAGGGACAACAGGAATGCTATCCCTCATATCCATCCATTAACAGTCCATGGAATTCACTTAATTCCAGACAGAAGAAGTACGTGTTCGAAGAGCAGCGGAGCACTCACGGGGCTTGTACCTGAGTTAGTGGGTGGGCAGGCCAATGGGAGTCCTGGGTTGAGACACAGCAACAGCGGCGCCAATAGGGCAGCGCAACGAGGATGAGGAGGCGGAGAGTTTTCCTAAAGGAGGCGTTTTTAGGGTGCATTTTTCCCAAAGCCATCCTCCTCCCTCCCCACCACCCAACCCCACCCCCTCCTGCCGCCTGCGCTGTGCGCTCATCATTTCGCATCAGAGACTCCATATCATCTTCTCACAGCATGGGAATGAGCGCCGCATGCACTTGTGACTGACACGGGGACTGGCCGCCGGATGCCGCCCCTGTCTTGGTCTCATCGCCTCTGGGTGCTCGCTGCACCCGGTGCCGGTCACTAGTCCTCGGGGTATGTACAAGTCCCTGGATGTCTGGGCTCAGCACGCCTTCACTCACTAGTTTGTGATTGCGATGGCGAGGCACCTGCCCACTCTCTTCAGTGTTCTACACGTGGCGCCAATGATCATAAACCAGTACTTGCCGACAGCAGAACATATTCATCCCCTGTGCTCAGTGCCCTGCAGTGCGTCATCCACTCACAGAGCTCAGTTGTCCCCTGACGCTGTGGTACTCAGAGCCTGCGTTTCTTGTCCACTCTTGCCACTTCACCAATTCACAATGTCTCGTTCTTTATTTGCAGTTGTAATTATTATTCCGATATAAACTGTTATAACAACAATCTAAAAGTCTATAAATAACAGTCTGTAAATAACAGTGTTATTTGTTAAAATTTTTGCGGGCAATCTCACAAGAGGCATTGCAAAGAATAGGCCTTTATGCGTCCAGCTGTTAATAATACTCGACCAGTTCTCATTACAACAATGCACTTTACAGATGTATGTTATCAGAACTTTTGCAAAATGACATTGAATCTGGCCTATTAATGGCCGCAACCTGCGACCTGAGCGTGGCGAGACCTGGGGGGCAGGGTGCACTGCGGATGCAACAAGGATCGAGAGGCAGTGTTGCAGGTCCCAAACGCGGCGGGAAGCGCCGCACAGATGTCACAGTCCAGTGGGGTGCGTGCTTGCAAAGAGCCATTGTTGTGACGGATGGCGATGAGCACGAGGGCCAACATCTGGCCGGCATCAGTGGGCCAGGGGGGGCTTGTGCTATGGAAATCATAGACACTGCTTGGCTCGGGCAAAGAAGCTGACGGCTACCTCGTTGCCTTGCTCTGTTAAATTGAATGATGATTGCCAGGCTGACCGTTCGCTCTTGGTCGGCACTCTGTCGCTACCAGGCACGGGAAGCGAAGCTGTAACCGAAAACAAGCACATGAACCAAATGGTGCTAGCAGAAAATGTCCCCGGTTAGTAATCACAGTTCCCGTTCTCAACATAATTTTATCACCGTGTTCACGTGTCTAATCACACCGTGTTTAACACCATTCCCCTAACAATTACTCGCCACAATTTCCTCGCCCTCACAATGATGATGATGCCATGGAAATGTGCCAGACGCTGTAATGGAGGAGATGCCACGCTCGCAAATGCAGGCCATGATGGGAAACGATGCAACAAAGTTGCAGAGGCGCGCCTTTCCCAACCGAATGGCAATTGAGGTCATATGGAGCAATGCACACTGTGTGGCATCGCCGCGGGCCTCGCAGCACGGCAGCTGGACGTCGCGGCCCAGTCAATCTATTTGTGGAGCGTCCATGTAGCAGGCGTGGCACAGCTGTCACCGGGCAAAAAAACATCTGATCGTGACCAATCGAATCGAACCGAAAATCGAAATGTTATTTGCGATACCCTACGAGCCGCGTTGAAAGCAACTTGCTTGTCTTGAAACATACTCGTGAGCTTAAAGGAGGCACTGCAGCGCCGCGATCTGCGCGGGGCTGATTGTGGCAGCCTGCCACCCACAGCCACCAGCCCTGCCGCTGGCAGGCAACGCCGCAAGTGAGGTCAACTTCCGTTTACGAAACAGGGGATTGAAGTCAGAAAAGATAGGCAGGGGCGTTGGCAGCCGATACCATCGATCGTCAGCCCATCCATCATCAAATCATCTGCATTGCAAGAAGCGTGCACGGCCGTGCGGGGGAAAACTTGAACCCTTGGGAACAGCCAAGTGGAATGGACGAAGCAAATGGGAGGTTGAACCAAAGCTGATTAACTATCATCCGTCACTTCCCATCCATGGATAGAACTGTGCCCAACACAAGCTTGACCATATTACGTAACCTTCAGGCTTGGGTAACAAGTTGCATGCCATGGACGCAGGCCGCCAGAAACTGAACACTTTCTTGAAAATAAAGTAAATTGTGCGAAGCAGCGAATTTGCCCGCACTGAATGACCCCCGTCAGCGACCGTGCGCTCAATCCTCGCCCCTCCTCGGCTCTCAATGATATAAGATTCAATGAGAATCTCTTTTCATCGCCCGGGGCATCAAGCACGCCCAGCAGCCTGCCTCGGTGCCATGCCCAGCTTCCACGCCCACAGCCCATTCACTTCAGAACCTCCGGATCCTCAGAAACGGCAGCCACCGCGCTCCTTCCCATCACCTCCGTTTCTCAGTACTTTATCGTCGATCTCCATTCCAATCTCTGCACGGGCGACTCGTACAACTCCGTATACAGTGCTGCATATGTATCGGATAACTATCGGATCAGATATCGAATTTCCCATAAATCAGAGAGCGATTCCGATGCGCGTGTTGGCAAGTTCCTTCATCACAGCCAAACCACCCTCTCTGGCAAATCCCCTTGTTTCTTAAGAACGAAAAGAATCACCCCATTTTCTTGAGAAGGTGGAGGGAAGTGGGGTCCACGCTGCGCCATTCTGTCCTCCAACAATCCCGACCTCTCTGCCGATCTTTCGCCCGGACCAGAGCCTCGGCGGCGCCCCAGAAACGCACCTGTCCACTGCTGTCAAAGTACTGCACATTGCCGCACAAAGTGCCGTCCGAAACACCGCACAGAATACTGCGCAAAGTATCGCGCCAATAGCGGCAGTCACAGCATCTCCGGTATGCAGTACACCGCCCACTCGTGTGACAGCAGCAGCCCTGTGCGCCTGAACTCAGCGGCCGTGAGCGCCCGAGGGCCGAACAGCCCGAGGGTGGTGCCGAAGTGGGCGAAGATGCGAGCGGTGAATGCCGCGAAGCAGAAGATCATTACGATGGGGAAGGCCCAGTCCATGCCGTAGTCCTTCTCGGAGTTCAGGGCCCTCGGGACCATGGTCCCGAGACGAGATACGGTGTCTGGAGGATATCGTATCCGACAAATGCCTTATATGGTGTATCGAGCGTATCTGGGAAGCTCTGGATCGCCCTGGCCTTCAAGCCGCCTCGAAGCGGTCAGACGCCTTCTGCTCTCATTCAACCACCTTCTTCGAATGTCGTCTTACAGTATTTGTGCGCTCTGCTTCTGCTCTCACTCAGCCAACTTTTTCGAATTTCCCCTCCAGCACTTGGGCGCTGTGTTCCTATCCTCACTCAGTAATCTTTTTCAAAATTTTCCTTCCGGTACTTGGGCGCCGTACTTCTGCTCTCACTCAGTCATCCTTTTCGAATTATCCCTTCCGGTACTTGGGCGCTGTGCCGCGTCCTAGTACATGAGTTCGCCCCAGCTGGTGCCAGTGGCGCTCTCGTGGCTGCCTCACGAGTGGCAGCGGCCTTTCCCGCTTGGCCCGGCCCACATTCGGAGTCGCTTCCAAGGCAGCTGCGCTGGCAGCGTCCGCTCCGTCACTAGAACTTCGGGAACGACCTCCAGCCCCCTCGTCCTCCGCCCGCGTGCGATGGCCTCGGAGCTGGCTTTCCGTCACGGGCAGAGCTACCGATAGTTTCTGGCCGGGACTGCTCCGGCGGTCTCGAAGATGACGCCGAGTCGTGCGACGGCGGGAAGATGGCGCTGACCCGGTCAACGGAGCGAATGTGTCATGTATTGGCAGGAAGCGGCGCGCCGAGTGGCAGGGGCAGTCTCATGGTCACAAATGCATTAGGAGAATTCCTAATCTATTAGTTTTAATAGATGCCTAGACTCTGACTTGTGTGTTATCATTCGATTTCAATCAACCTATCATGGAAAATGCTTTGCTCGGGCAAAACAGCAAGCTGACGGCTACCTCGCTGCCTTGTGCAAAGATCGTAGGCTCACCATGGCCAGACCTCTCTGTAGTTCAGCAGTGAAAGATCGACTTGAATTGAGTCGAGAGGGGTCGATTCCGAGCGACGGAACGGCCAGAAACACACACGCCGATCATCTCACGCCAGTCGCACACAGGGCCTGAGTCCCTCCCTCGAAAGGGACACTCACTTGGCCTCGCAGGTCCTCTCCTCAGCCGGTGCGAAGGCCTGGCTGGCTGCAGCGGCCGTAACCACTGCATGTTAAAGACAGAGAGCAGCCTACATTGCCAGCTCGCCGGATTATATACAAGTTCGCGTTTGCTCTTGTCCACACATCCCATAGAGTATGCTCCAGAAGATTCGCTACTACCCCTCTTGTAATGCCTCTTGTTGCTCACTTCAGAACTTTCCAACACTTAAAGTCCCATCACCGTACCGCCCATATGAGCTGCCCAAATCCAACCAAATCTTCGAACTAGTGTCCAATCACCCCACCTTTTTCATAGTGTACACGTTGGACGCTGATTCCCATTAGATTTTTTTCACTTGAAATTTTGCTAAAT